GAGAAGAGAGAAGAGAAGAGAAGAGAAGAGAGAAGAGAAGAGAAGAGAGAAGAGAAGAGAAAGAGAAGAGAAGAGAGAAGAGAAGAGAAAGAGAAGAGAAGAGAGAAGATCAGAGAAGAGAGAAGAGAAGAGAGAAGAGAAGAGAGAAGAGAAAAGAGAAGATGCAGCTGCGCGAAAAGTTAGGAAAGTCGCGTAACATTGTGTTTTTCCAATGATTTGTGGCTCCGGAGGGTCGAAAAGTAGTCTCGCTAAAGCGGCGGGTGCGGAGCCATGTGGTCAGATGAGAGATGAAAAGTTGCACGCTGTTGTGGCGCGAAGCACATTTCCAAGTCAAAATGTACAAAACACAGCAGTGTCGGACCACTTTTGGAAGTTGAGATGTGGAACAAGTGCACGCCGTTGTCGCTCGAAGCACATATCGAGGTCAAAAATGTTTAAAACACGCCATGGTCGGACCACTTTTGGAAGTTGACATGTCGAAAAAGTGCACGCAGCTGTGGCGCGAAGCACATTTCAAGGTCAAAAGTGCTACAAACTGACGGTCTCGGAGCACTTTTGGAGGTTGACATGTCGAAAAAGTGAACGCTGTTATGGCGCGAAGCACGTTTCGAAGTCAAACTGTTAAAAGCACTATGTGTTCGGACCGCTTTTGGATGTTCGGATGTCATTTCGCGTGGCAGGGGCAAGGGATTGTGCACCTTGTCAAAAGTGAGCAAAACGTGATGGCTTTGTAGCATTTCCAAAAACAATGGCAGGCATGGGGCATGTGAAGAGGATCTGGGAAGATGCATTTTCCGTGGCAGGCGCAGTACAAGAGACATGTTCATCAGAGCTGTTAGGAGGTCCGGGCGCTGATTTCCTGAGAGGGGTTGCATTTTGGAGCCTCAGATCTTCAGGTTTGCTGAGATGATTTTGCGTGACAGGTGCAGCACTTCGTATGACCTCGCATCACTTTTTCGTGGCAGGCGCAGTACTTTAGACAGGTGGAGTGGGAAAACCGCAAAACGCATTGGTACGAGGCCGTCAGCTCTGCACTCAACTTTCCATTTTTGAAGGACGTCTCGCAGACTTGCTTCGTTTTTGATTCGATGTTGCCAACTTCAAACATTGAGGAAGTCTCGCAGACTTGCTTCGTTTTGATGTTGCCAACTTCGAAAATTGAGGAAGTCTCGCAGAATTGCTTCTTTTTTGATCTTATCAAGTTCAAAAGTTGAGGAAGTCTCAAAGAATAGTTTCGTTTTCTAACTTGCAGAAAGACAGACAGATAGATAGATAGATGGATGGATAGATAGATAGATAGATAGGTAGATAGATAGATATAGATAGGTGGACAACTACAACTAAAACTGCAACTGCAACTGCAAGTACACTACAACTACAAATACAAATACAAATATACTACGCTACAGTACAGTGATTACACTACACTACACCAACTACACTACACTACACTAATTACACTACACTACACTTAATACAGTACACTGCACTAATTGCACTACAACTATTGCTACAATTATAGCTACAACTATAACTACTATTACTACTACAGCTACAGCTGCCACTACGCTACAACTACAACGACACTACACTATAAACAGTACACCGCACTACATTACACCACACTACATTACACGACACTACACAACACTACACTACACTAGGCTACAACTCCAACTCCAACTACAACTACAACTCCACTACATTACACAACACTAGACTACGCTACACTAATTACACCAAACTGCACTGCAACTACAACTACAACTAGATCTACATTACAGTACATTATTACATTACACTAATTACATTACACTACACTACACTACACTACGCTACGCTACACTGCACGAACTACAATTATAATTACAGCTACAGCTACAAGTACACTACTTTACGCTACTTTACACTACACTACACTACACTAGACTAGACTAGACTACACTACAGCACACAACACTACATCACATCAAATTACACTACACTACATTACATTACACTACACTCATTACACCACACCAAAACTACAACTGCAACTACGCTACCCTAATTGCATTTCACTACAGCTCTAACTCCACCACGCTACAGCTACAACTACAACTGCGCTACAACACACTACATCCAGCAGTTGTGGGTGAAGTGACCGCTGCAACCATTGCAGCCACTCCAAAAAAAACACAAGTCCAACCACGTTTCGGTCCATCAGTGGATTCGCTCTGCCATCCTTGCATCACAGCAACTCACCTCTCCTATAGTGGCCTATCTTTGAAACTTCCGCCACCGCCTTGTGCGGTACTACTGGTAAGATGGATTATTGGGGGGCACCCCTATTTCAGGAAACCCCCATATGGTCATATTTGCCCCACTTGGCAAATGGGTTCTGCGATCCCGTGCCCAGAATTATATATGGAATATCCCCATTGGAGTCTTTGGGATTATCAGGGTTATATATATATATATATACATATTTGCGGATTCTAAACCACCTACTAAATGGGATGCACGCCCAAGTATGTTGTAATTTGGTTTATAAGTACAATAAGCAATCTCCAAATAGAAACTGGCAACATCCGAATCAAAAATAATGATGAATAACCTTTTGGCAATTTTTGTTGGTTACTATAATCTTGTTTAAAAATGTTTCATACTTCAAATCACCACTTCAATACCACCCACAATTTGTACAATATAATATTTCTACAAATTATGTTGTAGGAATATGTGGGCATCGTGGAAAAATGTTGCTCATAGGTGAGCAAAATTTCAAACTTGACAAAGCCCTGCTGTCAGGTTCATTGCTCCATTGGCGGCTGGTGAACCATTGATTGTGCTGCGAAACGATGGGTGATGCGAGTGAAAGTTGTCTTGTGAAACTCAAAATTCGTGATTGGCATGGTACTCATACCCAAGATTATTGTCATTTGTGTGCCGAGGATTTGTGAATTTTGGGTTCCCCTTGTTTGGATTCTGCCAATGTTCAGCAGTCCCACGCAGAACGAGATTAGGCAACTAGCCTCAGCACAAAGCTTGTTGAGTGCTTGAAACGTCTGAGGATTGGGTCCCAAAGAGGCGAGAGGTACAGCAAAAGGAGTGTTTTGTGAACCGGAAGACTCCAGGCGTTGTTTCGGAAAAAAAATTAGCGTCGGAGATGATAACGTCACCGGGCCAGGATGGTGATGGTTACATGGGACAGCGGGAAAACGTCTGCATATTTTCACCTTGAAAATTCTGCACCAGCCAGAACAATTTTTTATTTGTGCAGCAGTGGAGTCCAGCAACATCCCACCTTGGAACTATTTAGACTTAGACCCCATTAATTCATGTATTCAGTTTTCTAAAACCCTGATTTGTGGTGACAATCTCTTGATGTTGATTGGTCAAGTCTCCAACTTTGGCTGCTTCAAAATCCACTATAAGTACGGATCAAAACCTATTATTACCATATAAACATCCATTAACCAGCTATCTTAGACGTTTTAGGGTACCTAGGGACCTAAGGTTTTGAGTCATAAGCAATTGAGTATGGGGCAAAAATCATTAGACCTCCAGAATCTGGATGAATTGTAGCCATACTTTCAGGAGGGAATCAACGAAGCAACAAGAAGTTGGGATAGGCTTGGTGACTACACCACCAAAAAAGATATATAGAAGATGAAGTTAGTATGAGTATAGTATTAATATAATCCACTCCCAAAATCCTGATACATGCATATATCGTTTATATATATATATACATACCTTTTTCTGGAGCTCTTTTGGGATATAAACATCAATGGTCATTTCAGGAACCTAAATTGGAGGCACCTACCATATATAAGGGTTAAATTTCAGGGAATATCCCCACAAAATAGGGCCCAAAATGTGGCCCAAAATATGGTACAGTAGCTCCATTTTAGGGTCCTGAAATTCCCATTGATTAAATGGTGGTAATAATAAACCATCCCCCAGTCATCACCATTTTTATAGTTGGTATGGTCCCCCAGTCATCACCATTTTTATAGTTGGTATGGTTACCATTCCCAGTCATGGCTGGTTTATGACTCATTTATGACATTGTTGTACCCACGTTATATATCATATACCACTATAAACCATTTATAAACCTCGGTATCCCATTATAAACACTATATACCATGTACTAGTATATATCATATATCCATTAAAGCCGTATATACCATGACAAGTACATGACCTCATTTCGGAGCCGCTTCAGAGGCTCCGGCACTTGGAGCGCCTCGACGGTCTGGCGGAGGAGTTGCAAGCGCATCAGCCGTGCGCCCGTCATCCATAGCGGTCACGCGCGTTTTGTGTCTGGGGTTGAAGCACTGTGGCTTATATGGGGTTTGTGTGGGATTTATGGGGTTTATTTGGGTTTATAATTACATTGGGAATTCAGGAACGTTGGATTGATACAGGATTGATGTGAGATTTATATGAGATCTATATGGGATTGAATGAGATTTCTACATGAGATTTTATTGGAACATGAATCAATCAACATCAATTTCTCCTATCCCCGGAGGATTGCGTTCCAACAGCATATCTTTTGCGACATGGCCTGAAAGGTGGTCAAGACCTGGCCTATGCTCCCAAAAATAAGTCGCGGGGATGCTCATTTTTCACCATTTTTTTAAGGGATTCATGCACCCATCAGCATGACTCCCATGCACGTTGACATGGGTTGACCACACCCCAAAAACAATCTTTTGACCATGGGGTTTATTGGGGATTGAATGGGATATCATGGGGGATGTAGCCAACCAAAAATGCTTTTGACGGGATTTAATGTGATTTAACCGACAATAATTTAACCGACAATAATGGGTATATAATTGGTATGTACTGGGTATATAATGGGTATACAATGAGTATGTAGAGGGATAGTTTCGCCATCAAAATTCAAATGTGAATTCATTCAACAAACATGAAGATAGCTGATACAACTGCTTCAACGCCCCTATTGATGGCTGGTTCGGGAATTGCACCACCTTGTCTATATTGGAGATTGTCATCATCCATGAGCTGGGAATCCAGAAAACTACAATTATGGATACATAGTGTCATCCCTATCGTTTGCCAACCGTAGGGATATATATATATAAATAATGAGAGAGATATATATACTATACATCAAAACATCATTTGTTTTGGAGGGGTGTCCAAGAGTGACAATGTTAACCACCAAACATAGGTATTGGTGCCTTTTTTTGTAGTCATAAGATGTCATAGCTTGGCTTTAAGCACGCCACTTGAAGTGTCTGAAACCATCGGGGTTAAACCAGCAAACATTGCGGGTTTAGTGTGGTAGGACTTGCCATTCTTAGGAGTTGCCATTTGGAACTTGACTCTTCGATGGCATGAACACCTCATTTGTTTGCTTTTGATACCATGGGTTATTCATACCATTCAGCGGTATTTCTAAATTGGTGCGTGTTTGTTCTAAGCAATCCAGTAATAAATTAACCCCCAAAGACCTCCACATATTTTGGCTCTATCTCTCCATCCCCAGTGGTTTTGACCCCAGTTTTTGAGGCTGCCCCATTTTTCTTGGATTGTTGATTCACAGAATTGGATGATGGGAAAATTTACAGGAAACCCCGGAAACCCCTATTTGCGGGTAAAAACCATGGTTTCCCCTTAAACCATTGATTGATGTGTGACGCAGCCATGTCCAGCAGCTTAGCTCACGCCTCGCGGTCGTCCGCTTCGCATGCGACTCGTTCACCGATGGGATCGAACTATGGATCGCAGCAAAAACGGGTGGGTTTTAAGCCAATAGCTATGTTAAATTACCAGAGGGTAAGCAACAAACAATGGTCCTAACAATGGTTACCCGGTAAACATGGCCATTAACTTCATCCCATACAGATGTTTTGTCCAATTTTGCGGCATCCAGCCAGCGGGATTTTGCCAACCAGCCATGTGTGATGATCGGACGGTCAAACCATGCGGATCTCAAGCAACCGCGTGGACTTTACCAACGAACTCCAACGAGGATTTCTCCAAGATTAAGTCAAAATTTAAGCAACGCGACATGGGAATTGTCCGCAACACAAAATTACTATTTCACTAACATTATCCCGGCAAGAGACCCCAAACATGCTGGGGGAGTAAGAGGATAATGTTTTATAATGTTGATGATGGTGTTAATTAATGCTGATGATGATTTTGATGGTGTTGATGTTGATGTTGATGTTGTTGATGATGATGACGATGATGTTGTTGTTGTTGATGATAATGATGATGGTGATGATGATGATAATAATGATGATGGTGATGATGCGGATGGTGGTGATGATGATGATGATGAGGATGAGGATGAGGATGAGGATGATGCTGATGAGGATGAAGATGATGAGGATGGGGATGAGGATGAGGATGAGGATGATGCTGATGAGGATGAAGATGATGAGGATGGGGATGATGATGATGATGGTGATGATGATGATGATGTTGATGGTGATGATGAAGAAGAAGATTATGATGATGATGAGGATGAGGATGAGAGGAAGATGATGATGTTGATGTTGAGCAGGAGGAAGATGATGATGTTGAGGAGGAGGATGTTGAGGAAAAAGACCGATCCCAAGACCGGCTCGCACACTTTGTGCGAGCAAGCGCAGCCGAAATGCAGACGGACATTTCACAAGAGCCATATTGTGTGGAAATTTACAGGGGATTGGCCGGACACGGATGATACCACCTCGATTGAACATCGGGCCTTAACTGTTACTGTAAGAACCCCTCAGTGTGGCCACATTGTTTGGGGAAAAAACAATGATTTCACCGCAAAGGAATGGATATATATATATATATTTATTTATTTATGTGTACATATATATATATATATATATGTAATTATATATATAATATGTATATATATATATACAAATGTAAAACTTTATATACACATAATATAAATAAGGAACAGCAAAAATTGCATGAACAAACAAAAAACAGGATATCAGAGGCCGCTAAATTCACGTTTCACCTGCAACCAATGGAGATAAATTTGAGTCGAACTTTGACACCAGTCCTTTTTTTCAGTTAGGCAGATGGGCGTAAGAAAGGTCTTCAATTTTTCAGGTGACCTATGGGTCACATCTCAGAAACGAATGGCTTGGAAGCGCGTCAATGGATTGATGAAAAATGGAAACTTTTCGACCAAAAACCCGTGTTTTTTGTTCTACAAAAAGTCAGTGGCTTTGTGATCCGCGTTGTTGTGGTTGTCGTTGTTGTTGTTGTGGTTGTGGTGGTCGTGATGGTGGTGGTGGTGGTGGTTGTTGTTGTTGTTGCTGCTGCTGCTGCTGAAATCCTAATAATTGTTGGTGAATTCCTCACTGGTTTAGCCACCATGTTTCGCCATGTTTGTTGATGAAATCATGCCTGAAATGACTCAGCAGCTCTTGTCGTTGCCACGCTCTAATTGCCGAGGCGGGAAACAACACGCTTGTGGCTTGTCTCCGCTCGGGCTCGGCACTCTCCGAGCTGTATGTGGCGGTGGATGAGTTGGAGGTGAGAAAACGAGCTTCGCAGTTGGGGGGTGCGGGCCCTTCTTCTAGTAAATGGGTGAACAAAACCCAGTTATATGTGAAATTTTCCCACTTAGATATGGGTGATAAACCATGATAGACCAGGGATCAGAAAATCGCCCCATCCAAGTTCCTGGAGGAGTCGGGCATAATATATATACATATATATATATTTGCAACATGTTTTTTAAAAATAAAACAGGTTTATAGACGTAGATAACTAATGATAGCTAAGTCGCTTAAAACAGCTATAAGTCTTTGGTTTATGGTAGATATATCATGATATATCATGATAACTGTCATAGTTTTTCTGGTGATATGGCGGTTATAAAAACATGCCTTGCAAACTGTAACCATGGGTTGTGCTGGCAGTGGGGTACCCCGGGTACCCCCAAATCCAATGATTTGGATCCTGTTGGACAAAAATCCCCAACTTTCACAGAAAAACCAGAGAAAGTGCTGCAAAGTGCTGAAAAACCTGAAAGTTTCACCCAACAAAGTGCTGAAACAAAGTGCTGCAGCTAATTTTTTTTGGGCCATAAAACTCATAAAACCAGTCGTTGACCTGGTTCTAAAACCATCTCTCGCTGACTCATCGGGGGCCCAATGATGAAATGTGGGCTGTAAATCATCCCAACTAGGGGATTTTGTCTGGGACGGTTTTTGGCAGGTTTACCACAGTACTTACTATCTGGTTGGTGGTGACTGGAACCATGGAATTTTGAATGACTTTCCAGTCAGTTGGGAATGGAAAATCATCCCAGCTGACGGACTCCATCATTTTTCAGAGGGGTAGGGCTCAACCACCAACCAGCTACGGTTCATTCCTTCTAATGTAAGATACCACCATAGAACTCCTGGTAGATGTTTTTGTTGGGGCATCATTCACTGGTGTTTTTTTTGGCGGATGGGATCAATAGGGAAAAAAAAGGTAGAATTAATCCATCATACTATAACCTAGTAGGATATGATATTAGTGATTCCTACATATTTCTACTGGTTTTATGATATACCACTAGTTTTCTATACTACAGGGGTTGTAATACTAGTATATCATAGTACTATAAAACTATTAACCCATTAATATTACTAGTGCTACCAGATAACCCCTGTAATGATTTCCATTGAACCAGAATAGCCATCGGTAGATGTTTATTTTTCGGCTAGTCTCCGGCTAGATGTAGGGATTGTGACATGACCCAGTCATGGAACCACCATAAGCTAGTCACAAGCGTGGTCTCCCTATTCAAAATAAGCCAGATTGAATGATTGTGAATCATTTTTGGATAGCACAGGTTGTATCACTTTTGATATAGGAGGTGACCCGTGATTCATGGTTTGGATCATGCTTGGGTCAACAAGCAGTTTGATGTTCACCCATCCAATTTGGGGATGTCAGCACTATTTTCATGGGACTTTCACCAACGAAACAATAAGAGTCTTGATGGAGACGTTGCCAGGTTCCTCAAAGGGAGTTTAACTATGATCATAGTTCTTACGGTATTTTTATGATGATTAATGTTAAATTACATTAATTACATAGTGTATGTCAAGATTCAATTCAGAAATGGAACATGTGAAAACCAGCATCCGATCGTTGCTCTATGGAATTCCCCGCCAAAAAGGTGGCACATGACCGGGCGGTTTAAAACATGACCATACATAAATCTGGCTGATGATGCTGATGAAAAAAGGGGGTTGCCAAAGAAAATGATCATCTGTTGAAGTGGGATAAGTAAGGCCCCCCCAGTTACGAGTTGTGCATGTCGCAGATATATCCACCAGGAAAATCCAATTTTCGGTCGTTATTTGCAGCAACTGACCGAATAATTCCCCAAACATGGTTGGAATATAATGGAATATCCCCATTCCTCTCAATGATTATCAATGTATATGTTACTTCATGGAATATCCCCAATATGTTGTTAGTTTAATTCCCATTTTTCGGTGGACAAAAACGTATAGTGGCGCTTGGTGGGTCCGCCTCTCATCCCACGGAGAGGCCAGTGTCAAAGCTACGCGCCGTGCGATTCACCGTGCTGCGCGAAAGCAAGGTCTCTGGGCTGTGTTGCCACGAAGAGACCCGGGGATGCTCCTAAACATGGCGGTTTTGCTATAGCTGTAGCCATTTTTTTTTTCGGAATCCTATTTGGGATGAGAAAGTCCTCCATTTTACTCCCGTTTTTTGCCATGTTTTTTGCCATGTGGATGTCATCACATGTTTGAAGCCGGTGGAAAGAGCTGTCTCGGCTCTGAGTTCCATTCAGCTATCGTTGCTCTTGGGTGACCTCGGCATGGCTGATGGGTGCAAAGGGCATTCGGATCATTCGGATCATCACAAGGTGGCCACGGCCACGGCGGCCACGGCATCTTTCTTGCTAGGCCTGGTGCAGGGTGTTTGGATATTGGATGTTTAACCGGTTCTTTCCTGGACTTTCAACGTAAGAGTGGCTGCTTCGATTTCGCGAGCCGTGTTGCACATCCACTCTAAAATTCTTATGCTCGGTGCCGCCCCCAGTGATGTTTGTTGGTTTATAAATGCCATTCAGCCATACATCTCCATTGTAATGAAGTTGCAATGCAAACAGTGTAGTCTCCGCCTTTTGTCTTACAATAGATTTCGACACAAGATTTCTTTGACATGTTTACCCTGTTTACCTGTTTCGATGTGGGCGCTCTTGTGAGTATGTCTTGAGTTCTGTCCTCTTGGTCAAAGGAGGCTAAGGAACCGATGAAAAAAATGTCAGCTGTGGCCAAGCCAATTCACTCACAAGCCCTGGACACTTGACAGATCTTGCCAATACTTGGCACGCTCCAAATCAGCAGGAGATGCGGCGAAAAGCAGCCACACTCTTTGCAGAGAAACAGCGCACATGCAAGATTTGCACGTCTTCCTTGAGGCAGTGGGGCGTCACTTTGCAGCAGTTCATGACAGCGGCTAGACACCATTTGAAAGGTTCAAAACACACCAATCAGATCTGCAGATAATCCTATGTGCTGTTGTAAATGAATACAGTACTTTGAAGATAACTAGAATCCATTTCAAAGACCTCCCTGCCCAACAAGCCCAAACCGCTAGAGCAACAACTACCAATTTCTGCCAGTGAAGTAAGTCCTTCTTTACCCCCTAGCAAACACAACCATTCTGAACGGATACGTGAGATATCAGTGTTTTTCACAAGGCATTGTGGCCCGAAACGATACCAACTCATACAAGTATGTTTGGGTGAGTCTGGTTTCCCAATCAGAGTATTCGATGGCAGGTCTTTGCGGAGTTCAATGCTGAGCAAAACGCCTAAAAATTATCCGAAAATTGCTACGGCTTGGTTGGCTAGTGAACTATGGCTTCGGCTTCTTACCATCGAGAAAAAAACATTCGGTTAGCCAGTTAGACCAGCTTTTTCTTGGTGCCAGGCGAGTTTACAACTCGAAAATCCTCGGCTAAGGCAATGAGAGTCACTTCGAAGACATGATTAGCCGCATCCGCAGGAAAAGGCTGGCGAAGTTTGATGTCATGGATTTCTGTTTGGCCAATGGGAATGGGATGAATCGCTCGACTTCCACCTCGCCTCGCTCCTTCCGTGAAAGTGTAGAAACATATGAGCCAAACAGGTTCAAGGTGAGCTTGTGAAACTTGTGAAGTGATGTTGTTGAGACTATACAAGAAAAAGCCAAGACTATACAGACATAGAGCGCTTAGAGGTCTTACTGTAGAGCTTTGTTTGATCTGCGGACGCTGTTTAAAAGGCCGCTTTAGAAGATTGAGAGGAGAATGGGAAGTTTTCATAAGAGATGGACATTTGTGCTCTCCTCTGTAGTTCAATACTTAAACAGATCTTTTCCATACATAAATGGACATAAAGGGATTTACATGTGTATATATAAATATATTAACGCAAAGGAAACAAAAAATATACATACAAAAGGATGTATTGTAAATGGATATAAATGGATACACATACATAGTATAAATGAGCTATGTTCACTGACCGTGCTTTTTTTTTGAAGGGCATAAACGACCATGGATCAGCATCGCCTTCGATACCACACAGGCTTTATGTTCTATTCCTCATGTTCGCCTGGGTGGCATGCATCGTCAAGCGAAAACTTGCTTGACTTTTTGGATGTGCCCACGCGACGGATATGGTTTTGTTTTGAAAAAAATGTGGACTGACCACCAATTGACCACCAATGTGTTTGCACATGTTTGCACTGTGAAAAACTCAGAAATCATGGGATCTTTTTGAGGTCATCTATTTTCAGACAAAACCTGATACAAATGCCATAGATCCAAGCCGCTGTGAACGAAGATTTGCCCATGCACAATGCACTGGGAACCCACGTCTCCAGTTGCGTTCGATTTTGATTTTGTTTTGAGCCGAACCATGTGCCATGGTCAAAATTGGGACTTGTCCACCGGCACGGGATAGTCATAGCCCTTATAAACACAGAGAAGAAGGCTTTTAGATGAAGCTCCTATCAAGATCGCGTTTTTTAATGGCCAGAGTCCATGTCTCAATCATATCCATGGCAACCTGGTACAGCACCCGGGCTCACGCACTTGGCATCCAGCGACTGGTCTCACGAAGAGGGGGACTTCGCGGTCTGCAAGCTGCGCTAGGCATCGGGGTAGCTGTCATGGGCTTGGGCCAAAATGGGTTATCCTCCTATAAAAAGCGTTTGTTTTTCTATAGTCAATTTCTGATCCATGCCCAAATCTGCTTAGATTAACGGTAATAGATGGTAATAGTAATATTTTTGAAAACAGTGGGGGTTGCTAGTGAAACTCTATGAACATCTATGATCCATACCCAGCTCAACAACCATGACCGCTCAGCACCGTTGCACACCGCAACATTTGACGCGCTGATGCGATCCGGAGAAAACCATGAAGATGGTCGAAAAAAAATCCGAATCGATGACTGAAACTACCCCCCAAAGACATAGAATTTGACTAGCAAAAAGAATTGTAACCAATTGTAACCAACAAGATGGTCATATGATATTATATGGTATATACATATATATATATATACAACCAGCACACATTGAGCTGTTTGATGCTGTTTGGCAGCCAGAGTGTGGCATGTCATCAACAAACTGTGCACAGCGAGACCCGCTTGGGATCATCTTTCAGCTCGCTGAAAAAACATGACAGGCCTGGTCCATGCCGGGCACAACAGACCATTGGTATCCTTTGGTTTTTTTGAGTTTTAAAAAACCATCGATCTTAGTTTGGTTTGATTTGGTTCTTTGGTACCCTGAATTTGATGGTGAATCACAACTTCACTACCTATGTCACCATTGTTGTTTTTGAACCATGTGTCTTCGTCAAAAAGAGCTGTTTTTGCGGCTCAGATTTGCAGTCAGCTATAGTCACCACCAGCAGACAACATCGACATGGCTGACGGGCAGGGCACAGCGCGTTCCTCAAAGAGCTCGTTCTTACGAGGCCTAGCTGCTTTCGACGATTCCGAAGCGTTCGGTGGTGCCCCTCCTCCGATTTTTACTCGTTGAGTTTCAGCCATTAGCTCGTTCGATATCTACCATATTGCATAGTTAGCCTAATTGTAAACCAAGTGAGCGATCTAAGGGGCCACACCGTGATGACATATCTGACATATCTTCAGTGCATTCGAGCCTCGAGCATGTCTTGAGTTTCAAGTCCTCGTCAAACAGTTAGCTCCTTCTCGAAGAAGTCTCAGTTGTTGCCAGGCCCGCAGGTCATCGAAGACATGTTGATGATGATGATGATGATGGTTATATAATGGTTATATAATGGTTATATAATGGTTATATAATGGTTATATAATGGTTATATAATGGTTATTAATGACTATTAATGATTATATCCCAGTACTTGGCAGGCTCCAAATCCGCCGGAGACGGAGCGAACAGCCACGCTCTTTGCAGAGCAACAGCGCACATGCAAGATTTGCAGGTCTTCCTTGAGGCAGTGGGGCGTCACTTTGCAGCAGTGAAATGGACAGCGGCTAGACACCATTTGAAAGGTTCAAAACACACCAATCAGATCCGCAGATTTTCCTATGTGCTTTTGTAAATGAATACAGTACTTTGAAGATAATAGAATCCATTTCAAAGATTTTCAAAGACCTCCCTGCCCAACAAGCCCAAACCGCTAGAGCAACAACCACCAATTTCTGCCAATCAAGCAAGTCCTTATTTACCCCCTAGCAAACACAACCATTCTGAACGGATACGTGAGATACCAGTGTTTTTGCAAGGCATTGTGACCCGAAACGATACCAACGTGTCATGATCAAAAGATGGACTATGTAGCCATATTGGGGGATGGCCAATGATGGCCATCCATCCATTTATAAAGCTTTGTTGCACTCATTGTCAGGAATCCAAAATGATGGTGGGATGACCAGTACCCATAAATCATGTTTTGACCATAGCACATTTATTGTTCAACCCATTCTTCTGGGAGTTGCTAAAGATGCTAAAGCTTGATTGGCGAGTTTTAACCGCGTCTTTTTTCCCAGACATGGAGATCTACCGCGTTCCCAGACTTGGAGCACCTCATAGCACCCTGAGGCAACGAGAGCGGCTTCGAAGACATGATTGGCCGCATCCGCAGGAGATGGCAGGGCAAGTTGGATGCCATGCACTTGAAGGAAGCAGAGTCTGAGGTCCCTCACTCCCCACAGCCAGAGTCTGAAGATTTCTGTTTGCCCATGAGTGGGATGCAACGCTCCAGGGCTTGCTCCCTCTTCCGTGCTTCATGTGAAACTGTGAAATCTTGTATAGCTTTGGTGATCGTGAACCACTGGTGACTTTCTGGCTGCAGGGAACACTAGGATGTACCGCTTCGCACAGGGGCTACGTGCTTGCGAAAACGGAAATTGTCCTTTTGTTGTTCTTTGGGTTTGTGGTTGGGTTCCCCCGATTTACAGTGGTAGCGGAGCCCGGTTTCGACCGGGCTGGACAATTTCCGTTTTGGTAAGTCGTAGCCCCTGTTCGGAGCATGGCCACGGGCAACCCGCCTGCCGTGCCACCATCAGATGGCGACAATGAGCCACTCGAGGAGAGTGGAGGGGAAAGGCGGCAGCCTGGGAGGCCTGCTGCTTCAGCGGGAATGACTGAAGAGGACATGGTGGCCTTTAGACGCTTCCAGAGGTTTCTACGGATGGAGCAGGGGCCAAATCCAAGTCCTCGCAGAGGTCGCCGCGGACGAGATGAAGATGATGATGATGATGGGTATGGTGACAAAGGACAGGCGGGGCCACCGCCGAGCTGGGACGGGTCGTCTTCCTTTGAGGACTTTTTGATCCGTGCTCGCTTGTGGTTGGCAACTACCAAGGCAAAAGGAAAGGCCAGAGGACCCCTTTTGCTGAAAGCGCTCAGTGGTACGCCTTTCGAGACCTTCAAGCACCTAGCAAAGGATGCGGCCTGGCTGGCTGATGCCAACAACGCCAACACGTTGCTCGAGACCATGGACAAACCGGAATACTATGGTGATGATCAACAAGAACACATGCTCACGGCTCTCAGCCGTATCACGTACCATGTGAAGAGACAGAAGAATGAACCATGGCGAGACTTTTTCGCACGTTGGGAAGGAGCGATGCGAAAAGTGAACCAGCATCGCATCAACCTCCCCTTGGACTACGAGGGCTTTTTGATGATCAACGGCCTTCAGCTCTCAGAGACTGACACGAAGGCCTTATTGAACTTCACTCGAGGATGCATAAAGCCTTCGTCAATCAAGGACTGGCTGCGGAAGAACGAGACACGTTTAGCGGCCAGTGAACTTGGTGCTGAGAAGGCCAAGGTCAACAAGGTCTACTTTGCCGAGGACGTCTTGGAGAAGGACCCCTACGACGAGACCGGCGACGAGGTGGACCAGGAGATCGAGATCTTGGAGAACTATCTCACTGACTTGCAGGACGGCGAGGAGATTGCGGAGCACGACGTGTTGGAGGAAGAGGACGCGGCAGAAATCCTAGCAATGATGCTCAAGCAAAAGAAGACCTACAAGGAGTCTTCGCGTGAGAAAAAGGAAAAGGAGCTCTCCAGAGGTTATGGAATGCCTGGGAAGGGAGGCAAAGGTTTTGGAAAGGGCCTTGGAAAGGGGCGAAGTTTCATTCAGCCCGGACAGTACAAGGTTTCCATAGAAGAAATCAAGAGGCGCACCAAATGCAACAATTGCGGAACCCTGGGGCATTGGAAGAGAGAGTGCCCGTTGCCGCCCAAGAGTTCCAATGCCAAGGTGAACGACACGCACCTTCTGGAATCCTTTGAGGAGATGGAGGAAGCGGTTTTCCTTGGGATGCTTGAACATCACCGAGCCGAAGGTGACCTGAGCGAGCCTGAGGTAGAGATGTCTCAGTTTTCTGATTGTAGCGTAGGAGATTTTGACAGATTGCCACTCCGTGAGGCATACAAGACTGAGTTGGGACCAGAATCCAAGGGAAGTGTTTTTGAGTTGTTTATGTTTGAAAATTATTTGTGTAGGTTGGTTCAAAAACAAACTATCGATGATACCACCTGTGCAACCGTTGACACCGGATGTCAAAGACTTGCAATTGGAAGTAGCACCCTGAAGCAGTACGCAATGAGATTGCCAACAACCCTTCAGGTGACTCTTCACTCAGAGACCAATCGTTTCAAGAGTGTTCACAATGTTTCTACGACATCTAAGGTGGCCACAGTTCCTGGCAGTTTGGGACCGAAAGGAACTTTTCTTCGACCAGCAGTTTTTGAAGATCCCGCTAGTCATCAAGCACCTTTTTTGATCTCGCTGACCTTCCTGATGCATTGCAATAGTACATTGGGGTTAGATGAAGAATCAGGACTCTATCTCATGTTTCGAGATAGCCAGACACGTATCCCTCTACATCTTGGACCTTCAAATGCCCTAAGAGTACCTCTTCAACTTTTTGAGCCCAATAAGATTGAGAAACTCAGGCAGGTTCAAGGTCTGTTGCATCAAGGTCGTGAGTTTGAAGTTCTGGCCTTAACACAGAACTTTTGCTCAAGGACAGTGGGGTCTACAGCACCGAACGTGATCTCCGAGAAGCGCCATGGAGTCGATGTCCAAGCGTGCTCGGTCCACCACTTTGGACCCGGAGAGACTGGATGTGTGGAACCGCATGGTGAAAAAGCTGATGGCACTGGTGATCCCTATCAACCTCCTGATGGAACAGGCCCTACGTTTGCCGACCGGCAACCACAAGAAGATGATGGCCACCCTGGTGGAGAAGATGGAGATGGAGGACTTGATCCATGCCCGGGAGTTGATCGCGGTGCAGATTCGGAAGCTTCAGCTTTGTCAAGATCTACGGGACTCCGAGGACTTCATCGTCATGACGGACCTGGACGACGTCGAGGTGATCGAGCCTACATCAATGACTTCAAGGACACCAACGACTCCGGCGACGGCGACTTCCAGGACTTTGACGACAAGACGTGCCATGCCAGCAGCCAGCAGTTCGTTGGCTCCCAGCGAAGCCATGACACAGGGATCAACGGGCACCAATGGAGCCGGGAAGGTGGGAGATGTGAAGGGCCTGGAGATTGTCTTCGGCTACATCCCTCCATGCCATTGCGGACATCAAGCCCGACTTCACTTGAGTCGCACGGAGAAGAACTTCGAGAAGTTCTTCTCTTGCGATGCCCACGAGACCCGGGAGTGCAGTGCAATTACTTTCAATGGACCACGGCACAACCGTTCCAGGATGTGACAGCTTGGAAGTACAAGGATCAGGGAGAGGGAGCAGTTCCTGCGGCAGAAGCCCTACAGGACATTGTTCAGAACACCTGCCAGCACAAGAACACGACCAAGCAGGGATCCAACGGGGACGTCGAGCGGGTGACATGCAAGATGTGCGGCAAGCTCCTGTCGGTCAAGTCCCGCAAGGAGATCAAGGAAAAGAAGACCAGTTCTTCGACCGGAACCACTGCGGATTTCGAGGAGTACCAGAAGTTTCCCGAATGGAAGAAACACCAAAAGAAGTGACGGACGACAAGAAGTCCCTGTCTGACAAACAGGTCAGAAAAATTCGAGCGGCCTTGAAACAGGCCGTCGGTTTTTGGCGGCAGATACAGGCCATGTTAACTGGACATGGTACTGAAGATACAGAAGTTTCGAAGATTATGAGGCAGACGAATGCCGAAATCTGCCGTGAACTTTACTTCCGGCCAGAAGGTACAAAAAGGAGCCGACAGATTGCGGAAGTCATGGGACTGAGTCATCAACAGTTGAAAACAGTTGCCGAAGTTTTTAATCCTGGTTGTTTTTCTAAACAAGTGTTGAAACATCAGTTGATTCCTGGTAGGGTTTTTGACATTGAACTTGGCAGTGATTTGAGACAGAAAGAAAGGCAGCAGGTATTCAGGTATTTGAAAAGCGTGAGACCCGGACTTGTGACCATTGCACCACCTTGCAAGTTGTTTTCCCAACTTCAAAACTTGTCGATGAAAAAGAGATATCGCAGTAAAGAACTCATGCAAAAGTATCTTGAAGACAAACAAGAAGCCATGGAGTTGTTGGAGTTTGCGATTTCCGTTTGCCTTTTGTGTCAAGAACTTGGCATCAAATTCGTGATCGAACATCCATTTACTGCCACTTCATGGCAAACCCCCGCCATGCAGAAGCTTTTGAGGAATCCACTTTTCTACTTTTCTCGTGCTGATCAATGCGAGTATGGACTACGAGGACCACGTGGAGGGCTGCATCGAAAGGCAACTGGCTTCGTCACCAACTGCAAGGAGATTTCCATGGTCTTACGGCGAAGATGCTCTGGCGAACATGAACATGAGGTCATCATCGGGGGAAAGGTCTCCGAACTGGCACAGAGATATCCCAAGAGACTCATTGACCAAATCTTGGGAGCCTACCAGAAGAGCATTTGCGAGACTGTGGAATTGATGTCACTCCACAATGTTGTGGCGGAAAACCAACGAATAGATCAGCTGCTGAGAGACTGCCTCCAAGGAGTTCAAGGAGAGAAGCCGACTCCGGGAGAAGAACATCATTCACCAGAAGTTCCAGGAGATGACGGAGGACAACAACGAGATGCTGACCAACTTCCGCATTGTGGAGTTTATCAAGATGATACAGAATTTGGAGATGACATCATTCTAAAGTACTTCGACGTTGCCAAGAACCACCCGGTGGTACTGTCCTTCAACGTGATACAGTATGTCAACGCGATCCAGAATGTCAAGAAGCTGCGGTTCTTCGAGGTGACAAGGAATGTCCAGGAGAGCTGAGAGAAACTGGAAGGATAGAGAAAGATATTTTGGCAGTGGAGATGGCGGAGGAACCAACTGAAGGAGTTGGCAAAGACTTGCCTCTTAGCGGAAGATTTTCGATTGGGAGACTACTTCAACGAGCACATGAAGGGCTAGGACACCCGAACAACGACCGATTTGTTCGGATTTTACGGTATGCCAACGCCAAGCCTAACGTGATTGAGGAGGCCAAGAAACTTCAATGTAGTGTATGCCAACGGCATCAACAAGTTCGACCAGCACGACGAGCAGCTCCACCAAAGGAGCTAGACTTCAATGACTGCGTTGGAGTGGACGTGGTCTACTTGCCCCTTCCAAACGGAAAGACGAGACCCAGTTTGAATATCATTGACTGGAGCTCAAAGTTCCAACTGATGATACCGACGGATACCAAACGACCTGGGCAGCTTCGAGAGGCGTACAGACACTGGCTACGCCTTTTTGGACCACCAAAGAGAATGGCGATTGACATGGGCAAGGAGTTCAAAGGAGTCTTTGCTCAAGCAGCAGAGTCGGATGGAACATATGTGGATCCGGCGGCAGTGGAGGCGCCACATCAAAGAGGCATCACCGAGAGGCATGGAAAGACCTTTAAGTTCATGCTGATGAAGGCCATGGACACGTACAATTGTACCAATGTGCAAGAGTGGGAAGAGTTGGTGGACGTGACCACCATGACGAAGAATCGGATGCTGCAGCACAACGGGTTCTCACCTTCACAACGAGTCTTTGGATTCAATCCGAAGATACCTGGAGGACTACTTTCCGATGATGGAGGTAACCGAGTTCATCCAGACAAAGTTCGACAAGGTGATCTGACCGTGGAGAGATCTATGAGGATGAGGAAGGCAGCAGCTGAGGCCTTCCTAGAAGCTGACGCCGACGAGGCTTTGAGAAGAGCAGTGTCAACTGGTCCGAGACCTATGCAGGACTATGACATTGGAGAGATGATCTACTTTTACAGAATGGGAGCTGACAAGGCGAAGAAGTTTGCCCCCGGATACTGGTGCGGACCAGCTCGCATCATGATGATTGATCAACCATCAACCATCTGGGCAAGTTACCAAGGGACCTTGGTGAAAGCAGCTCCAGAGAGAGTTCGACGAGCTAGCCTGGAAGAAAACCTCAGTCTTAGTGGTTGGTTGGCGGACTTGGTGAAGAACAAGCATGATCCATGCACAGATCCCAAGAAAGGCTACATCGACCTTACAGAACATCCTCTTCCACCGGAAGTTGAACGATCAGGAGATGCAGATGACGAAGAATATGAGCCGAGTGTGATGGATGACGAGGAGTTTGCAGAGGCCCTGAAGAACCAACCCCTGAAGAGAAAAGGTCCTCCATTGGGACCGAAACCTCTTAGACGATACTATAGCAAACAAGAGCAGGACCTGGAGGATTTTCTTGCGGCAGCAGACACGGGCAAACTACGTGATGAACGTCAAGAACCACCTGAACTTCATCAACCAGCTGAACTACCTGTACCTGATCAAGTTCCTGGAGACGAAGAGCGAGAGGAGATTGAGGAGACCGGGACAAAACGGGAGCATGGAGACGGAGATCCACCTGGAGATGAAGAAGAACGACCAACCAAGAGAAGCCGAGCAGAATACCTAGAGATGTACCACCTGAAGGTGGACAACTTGATGAAGCAGCGACAGAGGAAAGAGATTAGGCTGCAGGAATTGGATCGGAAGAACCATGAAAGTTTCCTGAAGGCAATCAACAAGGAGATCCAGACCAACATAGAAGCTGGAGCCTACCAGATCTTGGGAGACAAAGAATCTGCCTGGATCCGACAACAATGCCCTGAGAAGATCATGGAAAGTCGTTTTGTTCTGACCGCGAAGCCTCTTGAACCTCAAGAAGTCCAACTAGCAAAAGAGACAGGACTTTTACTTGACTGGGAGTCAGAAGAACCATGTAAGGCCAAGGCTCGACATGTGATGAAAGGTTTTTCGGAGGATGGATCCTCTACCATCGAAGCGACAACACCACAAGTGACCCGAGAGGGAGTACTGATGGTTGCTCAAATGGTAGCAAGCCATAGATGGAGACTGGGTTTTCTGGATTTTACTCAAGCCTTTATGTCTGGAGACCCAATTCAAAGGACCATCTACGCAGCCCAGCCGAGAGAAGGAATTCCAGGTTTGTCGCCTGGTCAACTACTGAAACTTGAAAAGGTGTGCTATGGACTGGTAGATGGACCCTATGCTTGGTTTCAACACCTGAATAGAATGCTTACCAAGGATCTCAACTACCAACAGTCCCTGGCCGACCCATGCATCTATTTTCAACATCGAGAAGTTCAAGGACCAGATGGACTTTGGCGCAAGGAACTTGGAGGAGTGATCGCTGTGGCTACTGATGATTTACTACATGGAGGTGACGAAGAGCATCTGCGGTGCATGGAGATCATCCAAAAGAAATACAAGCTGGGCAAATACCAATTTGACCAAGGGAAGTTCACCGGAAAGCAGTTCACTACGATGCCAGATGGAAGCATCTTGGTCAACCAGGCCCAGTACACCAAGGAGAAGCTGATCGACATACAGATCGACAAACACCGGAAGAGACAGAGATACAGCTTCTGTTCCGAGAAAGAGATCAGCGAGTTGAGAGCTAGCGTGGGAGCATTGTCATGGCTTTCCAAAGAATCCAGACCGGACTTGGCAGGAAGAGTTGCTCTTCTACAACAAAACTTTCCCAGACCCAGAGTCAAAGATTTGATCGAAGCCAACTCGATCACCCAAGAAGCGAAGAAGAACCCAGAAAGTGGAATTAAGATCATGCCGATCTTACCACAGAAACTACGAGTTGGAGTAGCAACTGATGCTTCATGGGCCAATGCGAAGGACAGAGATCGACTTGAAGATCATCGAGATGATTTTTGGGAAGAGACGGAAGGCTTCTGGATTAGACACCACAAGACACCGAGAAGAACCCTGTTTCATCCTGGAGCTGTTGAAGGTCCTGATCTACATGATTTGCTACCAGTTCGCAAAACTGTCCGAGATCAAGGCAAGGTCTCCGAGGACTTTTGGAACAAAAGTGATAGTTTTCAGTCAGAAAATGCAGAATGGACTGGAAAGACATACTTTGTGAAACAACCTTTTGGAGAAAAGCTACCGCCCACGGAAATCAATGAGATGTTCCTAAAGTTGATGAACTGCAGTTCTCAAGGTGGGTATATCATGATGTACTACGACAAGGATTTGGAAACACTACCAACTCCACAAATGGTATCAGTGACATCATGGAAATCCACTAGGCTGAAACGCAAAACAGTGAATACCTTGTCAGCAGAATGTCAAGCACTTATCACTGGCATTGGACATATTCATTGGCATCGCTTTCTGCTGCTTGAACTGAACGGAGAGAACATGTCTGATCGAGAATGGGAACATCGACTTTCGTCCATACCCTATGTCTCAGTGGTTGACTCCAGATCGCTCTATGATTGTCTCAATAAACTGGTCTGTACCTATGCTCAGGTGGAAGACAAAAGAACGGCGATCGATGTGGCGATTCTCAAGGACGACCTCTACAAGACTGGAGGGCATCTCAGATGGGTGGACGGTTCCAACATGGTGGCCGATAGTTTAACTAAGAAGATGTCTAGCGAGTTTTTGAGGTTGATTTGTAACCAAGGATTCTGGTCATTAACCAAGTCAGGACACCAGAAGTTAGCAAGTCAACATGATTTGCTCATGGTCACGATACACCAGCCATAATGTTGTGGCGGTGTGAAATCTTGTATAGCTTTGGTGATCGTGAACCACTGGTGACTTTCTGGCTGCAGGGAACACTAGGATGTACCGCTTCGCACAGGGGCTACGTGCTTGCGAAAACGGAAATTGTCCTTTTGTTGTTCTTTGGGTTTGTGGTTGGGTTCCCCCGATTTACAGAAACATATGAGCCAAATAGATGCATGGTGAGCTTGTGAAGTGATTTGGACGATTTCGAAGAGGTTTCAAGAAACAAAGAGCGTCAAGACATGTCAAGACTATACATAGAGACATAGAGCATTTAGAGTCATGGCAAGTTTTTTTTGATCCAGGGACGCTGTTTTTTTTTCGGCAGCTTCTTTGGAAGATTGGGAGGAGAAGTGTAACGCTATGGGGAAATATCATGCCCAGCTACGATTAGTCCCTTTTCTTTGCAGGGTTATCATGGGATATTTACAAGGCGGGAACCCCCAGTGATGTTGGTTCGTTTAGTTTCACCCCATTTACTAGAATTCGAGATATTTTTCAGAAATCATAAGGAATCTAGTATCAACCAGAGGTCTCACCTAGGCATTTCAACCAACTTAGCCTATAACTTAGGACCTTGATGCTGGGGGGTAGCACCTTACCGGACCGTCCGGATCATCGCTCAGCCATGGAACACGCGGCTTGCACACGGCGTCCACAGGATGGGCCCCCAGTCGAAATCGCGTGAACCGTTGCCTTACGTTTGTGGCTGAATTCTATGGCGTATGGTAGATATAACGAGCTAGTTAATGGGTTTATAAGCCAACTTATAGATATAACGAACTAGTTAATGAAGGTTATACCCCATGACGGATCCATGGTATATATTATATGCTAACATGACTGGGGTATATTGATGGGATCCATGTTACCATATATAACAGCACCATGGATCCTATGGGTACTGGTTTATAAACCAACTTATAACATCTTACAACTGGGGTCCCCGTCCTACTGGCGTGTTTGACTTTGAGTTTGCTTCGATTTGAACCAAGGGTGTGCCATGAAAACGACGCTTGTAAAATAGTCGAAGTATGTTTAAGTATGTTTATGTAATGAATATCAGGAATCCTATTCAATGTGGTAGGATGGACCAGGATGGACATATACTCCATATGTGTGTTGAATAATTATGGCACCTGCGGAACAGCACCCTTGCTGACAGCAGATGGCGTTCAGCTCAAGGGTTTTTCTTCGGCAAATTCAGCCTTGACCAGTCGCCCC